AGGGCCCAGAGTAATCTATATGTACCCTGGACCATGGGGTGTGAGTTTCCTCCCATCTATGAACTGGGGCCTGAGGCATTTCAGGCTGGGACCGTTGGCACACATGGCACCCATGCACTTGAGCCTCAATGGCGTTATTGAGGCCAGGCCACCACAAATGGCTGCGCGCAAGTGCCTTCATCCTGACTATGCCAGGATGTTCCTCATGTAAAGAATGCAGCACTCTAGTCCTCAGTGAGGTAGGGATTACAACCCTACTTCCCCATAGTAGACAATCCTTGAAAGTGGACAATTCATGTTTTCTTTGCCAGAAACTCTGAAACTCAGTATCAGGGCATCTGTCAGGCCATCCTGACAACACGCATGACAGAACGTGTGTGAACATGTGATCAGTGGCAGTTTCAGCAGCCACAACCCTTGCACTGAGGGGAGACTCAGGTAGTTCTTGAATGGACAGAATATTAATGGCTGGAGCAGGATCAGGCTCCAGTGTTGGAAGGGGTAATCTACTCAGAGCATCAGCATGACCCATTTCCTTTCCAGGCTTGTGAATTAGAGAGTAGTCATATGCTGACAGGAAAATGGACCAACGCAGCATATGAGGGGAAAGAATATGTGGGGTCTGTTTGGTTGTGGTGAACAACCCTAGCAGAGGCTTATGGTCGGTGTAGACAGCCCTTAATCTCTCAGCCAAGATTTGAGGTGATTCTCCTGCAATGAGGACATCATCAAAATATGGACAGACTCCTGGAATACCCCTCAGTGTGTTCTCCATAATACTCTGGAAAATGCCAGGGGCTACCTTTACCCCAAATTGCAATCTCTTCACTTTAAAAGCTCCTCTATGAGTCACAATCGTCTGAGCCTCAGCAGCTGCCTCATCAACAGACAACTGTTGATAGGCCTGTGCCAGGTCAAGCTTCGCAAAAATCTGCCCCCCCCCCTTTTAGGGAAGCCAGAATGTGACTTACTACAGGTACTGGATAAGCGTGTTGCTGTAGTGCCTTGTTTAGTGTGCACTTGTAGTCCGCACAAATACGAATGTCCCCATTAGCCTTTAAAGGCGTTACTATGGGGGTTTCCCAAGGACTAGAATCTACAGGCTCTAGAATGCCCTGCTGACGCAATTTCTCCAGTTCAGCATCAATCTTGTTTTTAAGCGCAAACGGAACTCTCCTAGGCTTGATCCTAATGGGTGCTATGGATGGATCTAATCGTAGTGAAACTGGAGGCCCCTTGTAGGTTTCAAACTCAGAGCTAAACACATCTGCAAATTCCCTGCAGACTTCTGCAAAGCTAGACGTTTGCAAATGGTGCAGCCCTGTGACATGGATTCCCAGAGCCTCAAACCAATTGAGTCCAATAAGACTCGCACGTTCACCCCCAACAACCAACACATCTAAAGAACCCTCAAAATCCTTGTACTGTACCTTAAGGGTGGCCTCTCCCTTAACACACACCTTAGAATTCTGAAAGTCTGTAAGTATCACAGTGGATGGCCTGAGTTTCACTCGACGGCTACTGCTGCTGCAAATCTTCCTGAATGTGTTGAGGGAAATAATGGAGAGAGCGGAACCAGTGTCCAATTTCATGGATAAGGGAACCCTTTGCAACTTTACTTTAAGGGACAACTTCTTTTTTAGGGGTTTATGTGTGCCTGTCCTCAGAATACTTCTGCGTGTTGTGCAGAAACCCACCCTATTTTGGCTGGGGACTCTGGTACCTTTCAGATGCAATTCTTCTTTAGGTTGTACCTTCTGATGACTCAGACATATGGCTGCAATGTGGTCTTGCCTTCCACAGGCCCTGCAAATGGCGAACCGGAACCGGCAGTCTGCTCTTCTGTGGCGTCCTCCATATCCGAAGCATTGTGAAGTTATTGAAGCCTTCTCTGTGCGATCTCTCTGTCTCCTTCTGGCTGCCTGGTAGAGCCTTATTCACCTCATCTTCAGGAACCTCTTCCGAATCTTCTTGCACGTTCTCCTGGTGGACAGCAACAGTCTCTGGAGGGCTTCTGGTGGGCCACATGTTTTTTACTGCTCCGCCTGATGCTTCCTCTGCTGTAACTTCTCGTAGAGCATCTTGGAACGAAATGACTTCTTTCGTGAAGATCTTTTGCTGTAAGTCTCTATTTCTCAGTCCACACACAAAATGATCACGCAATCTTTCCTCTAAGTCTTTAAATTCATACGGTCTAGCTGCTCGCCTCAATGCTGCAATAAAGTCCTTAGCAGATTCTCCTGCTCTCTGATCCCTTTGTTCAAACGTGTGCCTCCATGCAATGATGGACAGCTTGGGCTGAAAATGTTCTTTTAGAAGTTTCTTTAAGTCTGTGTATGTTACGCCTTCCAGCGAAGCAGGAGCCACGAGATTTTCAGCAATTTCAAAACTCTCTTGGCCACATACACACAACAATGTGACAGCCTTCAACCCGTCTTCACGAACTTGGTTAACCCTAAAATAGTTCTCTACTCTTGCAACGTATGATTCCCATCGTTCTGGGTGTGCGACGTCGAATTCTGACAAGCGGCCGATTTTCGCCATTGTAGTTTGTGCTGCTCCACTTGCTTCTGCAGGGAAAGGGTCTCTCAGCCAAACTCACCCTCCAGCAACGCTATACTGGCAGGATAGCTGCTGAATTTAATGCCGTTTTCCCTTCCAGGACTTCTTTTGGGTAAGTCTTAAAGCTTTCTTCTAGCTTTCCTTTTTAAGAATCTCACCTTCGTCGCCAGTGTTAAGTCCTGGGAGCGATGGCGAATGAAGAATACACACGTTTCTGGAACAGCTCTTTATTGTGCTTATTTCAAACTCCAACAATGAGCAAAGGCATGCAGGCTTCCTTTATACGTCCCATTCCCCAGATAAGATGGCAACATTACTAGGCACTTTTCGCGCCTTGCACATGCGCGCTTGGTTGGCGCCACTCAGTCTGGTCCCGGGCAGCTTTTGCAATTGCCCGGGAACCTTGCAATGTCCCGAGCCTGCATTTGCAGGCTCAGGACACAACACTCATCATCTGCCAAATCTTTCCTTTTCCATCAGCCCTATCCTGCATTAAGGAAAATGATTGCTTTTCCCACCCACAGGGAATCCATTTATTCTTTCCTTATTCTACTTTAAAATTGTCAAATCAACATCATTTTCTGTCTGATAGAGCAGAGTCAGAGGCATTACTGAAGTGATCAGATACATTGGACCAGGATTCAGATTCTGAATCTGATTTTGAAGAGGCTGTTGCAGCAGTACGAGTGGAATGTCTGCCGGTAGGAGAAACAAAGCCAAGGATCATCTGACTAACAGAATAATAGAGTTGGAAGAGACCTTGGAGGTCTTCTAACCCCATCCCCTGCTCAAGCTGGAGACCCTATTCCATTTCAGACAAGGGCTGATCAAAAACAGAAGCTGACAATTGATGACAATGTCAGGCCTCCCAGCTCCCACTACCAGTGAGAACAGAAGAGCAAAACAAAAATGTTCTATGAAGATCCCTGCCAAGGCAAGGGAATAAATGTTTTGATTAAAAACAGCTAGATGAGCATGATTTAAGAGGGAGCTCTGAACCATGTTCCTTTGTCAGACCTGTAAATCCTGCTTATAAAGCTCTGTCCTTGGACTGACTGACAAACCTGACTTGGCTATCTGAACTTCAGACTGGATTTGACTTCTCTTCTGTGGGTTCCTACTAAAAGTAAAACTACCAAGGCAAACTTTCTTTCTCAGAGACTTCTTTTGGTTTACATTCCTCGGCAGAGTAACTCCTAACCTAGAGTAAATTGCTAATCTCCATAGCAATTGTGCTTGTTAATTGAAACCTAATGGCATGGTTCTGATAGATGAGACCAACTAAAACAGAACTCTGAGGCTTGAGGTTTCCTTTAAGAACATATTTATTGGCTACAAAGTATCGGCACTGTCAAAAGTGAAAGCAAGACTAAAGTTCCCTCCAAAAAGTTACAGTATACAAAGTTAAACTTCCCACCCCATTACAATGCAATCAACTATGTTTCCAATAGACTAGTTTGGTGGGTTTTCTAATAGAAAGCCTCCCAGTCTAACAAACAGAAATGACCTTGGTTTCCATGGGACACAGAATTGTTTAAGCTAGCAGAAAAATTCCACTACCACCCTCCCATTCTGGTGGCAACCGAAAATGAGCCAAATGGCTTCATTCAGGTTTATTGCAAAGTTGACACCTAAAGCAGGACACTGAAGTCCAGTGAGAAAATAAATTATTCTGGGATTCTTTTGGACCATGTCAAGGACTGGAGAAAAACCTATCAAAGCAGCTGCTTGGATGATTCCTAATCTGTTTGGGAAATCCTGGGTTCAGGTCCTTTCTTAGCCTTTGGAGTTTCCTGAGTGGTTTTGAAGCAGTTGTCATCTCTATTCCTTAATGTGCTATAGACTGTGTTAGCATAATAAAGGTGGTCCTGCTGGACGTGCACATCCTCTGAAGAGAGGCAAAAGCTTACAGAAGCCACATTGTGCCTCAAAAAATGAGGGATGATGTACATTCATGTGCATTGCAAACTCAGGCAGGACACAGAACTACTTCCATTGGGAAAATGCAGAAGGAAGTGTATATTGTTATTTAAATGTGGTCTACATTTGTCACCTCGTCCTGACTCCGGATTCGGCTATCACAAAACACCACGCCAGGAACGAAGAACAATGGTTTAATATACACCAAGGATGCTTAAGGTCAGCACTAATGTTCATTTCCTCCACATGTATTTTATACATTTCAAAGTTGCCCCACCTTTCCTGCACCCACACCAACGCCCATGCGGCACCGCCCACGCCAACACCCATGCAACACTCCCCCATTCCCTACTCCGCCCCGTTCTACCATAACTGGTCATATATCTTGAAGCTTCCCGACGCTTCCGCCTCTCAGCTGTATTGGGTTTGCTTCGCCGGCTTCAGTTTTATGGCCACGCATGCGCTTTGAGTGATTTCGGCCATCTGAGTCTTTTGCGCATGAGTGGTTTTGTCCTAGATACCAGCTGCGCATGCTCGGCAATTGGGCTGCTCAGACCTCATCTGCGCATGTGCGGCGACTGGACCGCGCATGCTCCCATAGTCAGCTGGATGTCGGGCCTCGCAGATCGCCATAGTCAACTTAGGAAGCTTGCCGGCCAGTAGGTGAGTATCTGTCCGGAACAGGGGTTTCGGGGCGCCCTCCTCTAAGGCCCGACAACATTACAATATGAGCCCTTTTCTTTCCTCCCAAGTATTTGATTTTTATCTTCTATATGCTCTTTTTCCTTTCTTTGCTTCCCAATGTCTTCCACACTGAGTCTTCCTAGTCCAGTGCTCGTGACTCTACCACAACCTTGGGCTTGCCTTAGCTGTCCTTTTCCTCCCTATATTTTACCCCTTGTCCCAGATCTGTCTATTGCAGGCAGCATCTGCCACCACTAGTGGATGCTGGGGTCAGACTAATGACTAGCCTACTTCTTTGTCTTTCTCATCTCTTGGGCCATAACTCAGGGAAGGAAGAATGGTCTGGAACTGCTGCTTATCTCTGCTGCCCCCTCTATCATTGCCACCCTGTGCTTGGCTGTGATTTGCTGCTTGCTGCCTGGTTAAGCTAAAGCTGAGCCCGTTCTTTCCATGGCTCTAACCTGACTGTTGTCCCCATCTCTTCCACTATCGCCGCACCATCTTTCTACAAGTAATCCCTGCCATTGCAGCCACCCCTTTCTGCATCTCTGCTAGCCAACCCCTTCTTCTGTCAAAGGACCTCTTCTACACACTGTGCTAGCCAGCCTAGGAGTCACTCTGTCTCCATCTAATGACCTGCATTACATGACCCAGTAGTTGAATGTCATTTCCTCCAGACTGCTTGGCATATTTGGGCAATCTGAAATTTCTCAGCTTCTATCATGACTCTGAATTCACTGCTACAACCTTTCCATGTCTAGAGGGCATATAGACATTGCAACTCAATGGACACAATTTCTTGTCTCATTTTTTTCTTTCTGCAGATGTGTTGTTTTGTTGGGACAGAATACTTACAACATTGCCATATAATTAACACCATTTTGTTCCTCCAAATTCCTTGCTTCCAAATCAGAAGAACATTTTTCCTCAGTCTTGCATGCAATCTGGCCACACTGGAACTAGCACACCCAGAAAGAACTTTTGGATGATTTCTTTGCATTCCTGATTGGCAGATCTGATAAATCCATATGATTATGAGACTCAAGGAGCTTAAAGGAAAATATTGGAACTGTAAAAACTTGATTATGGTATGCCATTATTAATCAATTAAAAAGATATCAATATCATGACAACAGTTCAGAGAGGACTGAATTTGGCTTAGATTGTAAACATTCCATACCACTGTATATTTTTCTCATAATTCACATTCAACATGCTTAGGGGAAAAATATTATAAAGCTGTAGGTATTTGGAAGCCTAAATGCATTCTCTTATTGCTGTTCCTGATGCAAAACATAATTGACTATTTCATGCTGGGTCTATTTCTTTTAATGGCTTCATGACTATGGACTCTTAAAATATGTAAAAAAAGAGATAATTTTGAAAAATTGAAATTTTGAAAAATTTGAATTGTTCAAAATAGCATATTTCTTGTGACATAGAATAAGAAGGAATTCCTCTGTTCTCATTGCTGGTATTTTCAGAGACACATTAATACTTATAGGAATATTTTACCATGGTAAAAGCAGCATATTCATCATCAGAATGTGGATATGCAGCCAGACAATGGCAGTAATATTAGTTTGCTCCTTGTTTATAACCTAGAAAAAGGTAGAAAATGCTTGAATTCTTTCTGTATATCAGAGAGCTGTACAAAAATGAAGATAAGTATAGGTAGTCACTTGCAACCATTCATTTAACAGCTGCTCAAAGTTATAATGACAATCCAAAAACTGACTTATGACAGGTTCTCACATTTGTGACTGTCACAGTGTCCTCGTGGTGTTGTGATCAAAACTCAAGTGCTTGGCAACCGGCATGTATTTATAATGGTTGCAATATCCTGGGGTCATATGATCGCCATATGTGTCCTTCCCAGCTGGCTTCCAACAAGCAAAATCAATGGGGAAGCTTGATTTGCTTAATGACTAAGTGATTCATTCAATAACTACCATGAATTACTTAACTTCCATAGCAAAAGAGGTCATAAAATCAGGTGCTAGTCACTTAACAAAGGCTTTGTTCATCAGTGGAAATTCTGCCCCCAATTGTAGTTGTAAGATTTGGGTCCCAATCTTCATTGAAGATTGGAGAAGTGCATGCCTATCTTCATTGCAGAACAACTGAAAATGTCCATTGCCTTTGCATTTCTGTTTTCTAAGTGGCTCTTTATTAAAGACTAGTTTTTAGCTACAACTTGGAAAATAGTTACAATACTTGGGTAATTTATTATATTTCTGTCCTGTATTACCTCTAAAAAATGAAGAGAATTCTTCAAGATGAAGTGTTTTCCCCAATTCCTTGCAAGAACATGTGAAATAAATTGGCTAAGAGAGAGTGATTGGTGTCAAGTATTATTCACTATCTGTTAGGAGGCATAAAAACAAACTGGCATAAAAAGTGCTGCCCTGGCAAGCCCAATTCTGTGATAGTAAGAAAGCTGAAGACTGGTACTGTTTTTAATGTTTTAATGTCAAATAGATTAAAGGAAAAGATTGGTTGATTCCACTGGTATTGTTTCCTCCTGTATGAAGCATGGAAAATCAACAACTTTCCTTAATGTGATATGGACAGGGTCAGGAAAGCATAGGTGTGTGCTGGGAATTGCATTTGGCAACTTGTGGAAAATGAAGATCACATGACAGCAGCTCAAAAACACAGCAGCAGCCAGTGACATTGAAGCAGACTCAACTTTCCCAAATTTCATTCCCTTGGGAGTCATGGGTCCCAAATTTTGGACATATTCTGTAAGTCAGCCCATTTGACATATCTTGGTTCAAAAATCGGTGCTCTCTGATGCACCATTTTGGTCAGTTAAAGTTCATGATAACAAGAGTTTTAGTAGCATAAAGATGGTGATGCAAAATGCCCTGTTGTAGAATCAGCAGAAAAGCCAAGGTTGACATAATCAGGAACATCCAACAGGCAGACTTCACTGCATTTCTGGTTTAAATTGACCTACTATCTAGCATTCTGTCAAAGCCTAGCATTTTGTCAAGAAAGGTAGAGGTTATCTGTTTTTGGCAGCCAAAGTCAAAATGACCATGGAAGGTGGTTCTCAGGATCTTGAATAGAAGACATGCACCTGCAGAAAGCTAGAGTTCAATCAGAGCTAAGCAGATCTCCTGAATGACCATGTCAATAACAAGATCTCCAATGAAATGGATTTATCTCATTTGTGGCAAAAACTGTTGAGAAACTTATTTTTCCTCATCTGTAGTATAGAGATGAAACAAAAGCAGTATCATGGGAAGATGACCTTACAAAAAAAATCACCAGGGCACAGTGGTTTAATCTCAGATGATTTTAGAGGAATAATGGTAACAACAACAACAATAATAATCTAGTCATCTAGTCCACCCCCCTGCTCAGGCAGGAAACCCTATACCATTTCAGACAAATGGTTGTCCAGTCTCTTCTTAAAAACTTCCAGTGTTGGAGCATTTACCACTTATGTAGGCAGGTTGTTCCACTGGTTAATTGTTCTAACTGTCAGGAAGTTTCTCCTTAGTTCTAGGTTGCTTCTCTCCTTGATTAGTTTCCATCTGTTGCTTTTTGTCCTGCCTTCAGGCGCCTTGGAAAATAGTTGACTCCCTCTTCTTTGTGGCAGCCCCTGAGATATTGGAATACTGCTATCATGTCCCTCCTCGTCCTTCTCTTCATTAAACTAGACATACACAATTCCAGCAGCCTTTCCTTATATGCTTTAGCCTCTAGTCCCCTAATCATCTTTGTTGCTCTTCTCTGTATTCTTTCTAGACTGGCAACTGCAGAACACTGCTGGCTCATATTTAAGTGATTGTCCACTAGGACTCCGAGATCCCTCTCACAGTTACTACTATTGAGCAAGGTACCCCTATACTATACCTGTATATTTGGTTTTTCTTGCCTAAATGTAGAACCTTACTTTTTTCACCATTGAATTTCATTTTGTTCGATAGTGCCCAGTGTTCAAGTCTGTCTAGATCTGCCTGTATCTTAAGCCTGTCTTCTGGAGTGTTGGCTATTCCTGCCAGCTTGGTGTCGTCTGCAAATCTGATGATTTCCCCATCTATCTCCTCGTCCAAATCGTTGATGAAGATGTTGAAGAGCACTGGGCCCAGAACAGAGCTCTGGGGCACCCCACTACACACACACTACACATGATTAATGGTACATTAATCATACTGGACATATAAAAGGGAAGCTTATGCCAGAGTTGTGTGAAAGCAAAGATATGATTTCATCACAGAAGCATCAGCCATAAAAGCAACAAATTTCTTTTTATAAAATTGAGACAATGCAAAGCTAAAATTAACAATGGGATTCGTAAGAAACTGTAGTCAAAACCAAGGTGCAGCTATTAGCTTCTCAGTGCAAGTGTGTGATTTTGAAATAACCACATATTGTGCTATAGTATTTATTTCTTTTAAAAATGTACTAGTTCATAATCCAGCAGCCTTTTTAACATGGTAGCCTCCTAAGACAGTAATTTGAACCTATTTGGTGAATAGTAAAATTTTAAAAAAGTGCAATAAAGTCTGCAACAGACAGTCTTGCAGTGGTTTGGGGATATAGTCATAACGTAACTCAGGTATATGTGTCAGGAAATGAGGTGATCACCAGGAAAAAAAATCTCAAAATGCAGACAGCAATTTGCCCATGTATTTTTTTTTTTTTAAAAAGCATGCAATTATAAGTGTGTGGTTTGTCACACAAACACTACTGCCATCATGTGGTGAGTCCAAGCACATCCTTTGTATGGGAATGGTTCAACAAAATAGGAACCACATTCTTCAAAATTTTGTATTTGAGAATAAGATAAAATAAACTTTTTATTTTTGTTTCCAGTTTCTTTAGGCAGAACAAAAACTTAAGTCTTGATAAAAACTAGATTTCTGCTTCGTACTGAAAAGCTTTATCTTACAAAAGTTAACTAATTTAATTATATCTTTAGGCTCATTGAAAAAAAAAGTGAAACATATCTATATTAAGAACATTTGTTTCTCTTTCTCTCTGCTCTTTGTATAAGTTTTTACATTTACCAGATTTCTGTTTAAAATGCCTCAAAGAAAGACCATGTGTTAACTTGAAATACTTGTGTCCAAGTTGTGCAGAATTAGAGTGATAAATTCATGTGATTGTATGATATGTACTTCAACTAATTACCAAGACAGTTATTGTAATGAACCAGAAAAAACTGTGGCCAGGAGGAGGCTTATTCAATAATTTTTTAAATTCATATCTAGACATGGAAAAGGAATTAATAAAAAAATCAAATGTTTTATGCTGACTGAGAAAAAATCAGTACAGAATACTAGGAAAATGAGAGGCTTGAATATGTAGCAGACAATCTTTTGGTAGTGTTTAAGTTTGGATCTTGAAAAAAAAAAGGATACAGAAGGAAAAAGAAAACAAAATGAAAGTACTGGGGAAGTAAAACAACTGCAGGAAGAGATAGCATGAATCCCATTAGACAAAATAGCACAAGGTAGATTATTCTTCCAATAGAATGAGTGGAAAGTATTCCTAAAGAGTGTCTATGGAGATTCCCAATCATCCAGGACATGGTTGTCCCAAAGGTGCTTTTTTAAAAAGGCAACTGGACTTTGTTTTTTCTTGAAGACGTTTCAAAATATTTTGAGGGGAACATTTTAAATACCTTGTAGTAGCCAAATGGTATCCTTCCTGCCTTAAACATTTACATCAATTGATTTCATGAATCCAGATGATTAATTAGTAACTCAGTCATTGTTTCTCTCAGGTAGTTCAGGAATATGGGAACTCTTGAGATTAACTGTGTGCACTAGCTCTTTCAATGCTCTTCTTTTAAATCAATCCCCATTCCCAAAATATTAAAAAAAAACAACTTCTTTAATGTTTGGCTTTATTTTTATTATATTATAAAGATTAGTTCTCTAACTGAAAGTATAAAAATATGCTTCTCCAGCAATAGTGTGGGTTCTTAATAGTCTTATATGCAGAGTGTAGCAAGGAACCTAAGACAGAAGTAATTTCTATTCAATGAAGGAAATCCATAAGCAGTTGTAAAGTTAATATCAAGATAATAAACTAGCAGTGCAATGTTATAAACATAAAGCAGCTTTACATTATAAAACACACACAGCTTTTAAATACAGGAATAGCACCTTTACATAAATTGAGAAATGTAAACGTGGTATGTAGATTCAAGTATATAAATTATACATACCCTCCCTCCCTCCACAGCAAACCTTTGTGTACCAGAACATGAAGGTTTTAAAAGCCCTGAAATCCTGTACAATTTAGCACTGTACACATGCCCTGTATCAGTCTTAAGCTAAGGAGCCCTTTATCTTGAAGCAGTTTTGCCATAGCTTTTGGGGAATAGTTATTGCAATCATAATAATCTCAGCATTCTGTCAGGCAAGAGGCTCTTGGTCACCAAGCTGCATCCCTGCATTTCTGCTTAGAAGAGTTAATCTTGCCAACCCCTTTGATAAAAAGAAGCCTCAATGTACATTTCACCTTCCTCTATCAACCTGGCTATAGATTTGATTTGGCTTTCCTTCTCAGCATACTTATAGCACTTAGGATCCTGCTTTTGCTCATCAACCTCTTTATTAGATCGAACAGATAGAAACTACAAGACCAGCAGAGACTGTGTTACCGGTACACTGAGGAGAGGGTTAAACAGTTCAAACAGAGGAATTTCCCATCTCTTCCTAGGAAATGATGCTCTTTACTCGTTCAAATGTTCATGTCAGCATTTCATAGGCATTTAGGCCTCCAGATCATTCTATTTGCATCCAAGTTTTGCAAAGCTAGTTGTTTTGAATAAATATATTAACTGAAAGAAGCTATGCCAGTGAAATTATTTCACTTTCACTTTCCTTGTTTAATGAGATCAACATAGCCCAAGAAGCAGGAAACATGAAAGGATAGTAAATTATGAAACAAAATAAAACACACTTGACTTTATATCTGAGAGCTTTAACCCACCCTTAGTTTTTCTCTATATGGAAAGACTCATAAAGGTCAGGGGCACTGCATGGTCTGTCCACTAACAGCAAGTCTATTTTGAGTTGTCTCTTGCTGCAGTAACAGAAAAACGTCATTTCATTGGGCCACACCTGAATGCACACATATGTACCAGGATAAAGGTACATAAACCTGCTAATTCTGTAGTGTAAAATATTTTTAAAATTAACAATAAATCTCCCAAAATGATTTTACTGTTGAGATTTAAGAAATTTAAATCTTATCAAATACCTTCCATGTAAGGTTCTTACTGATTTAATGTAACAGGAAGTTATTATATTCTCAATTTCAGCTCCACTAAAACTGTTCATCTTTAACCTCCTTTTGGTAACATATTCCATTATTCAGAATTAAACACACTAAAGCCATAATTCTTCCTAAAACTTAATGAAATGATAGATCAGAAAATGTGTCTGACCTTAAGAAATATACATCATGAATTCAAAGTCATTCTAGGTTAAAAAAGGCCATTTACTTGATTATAAACTCAAAAGTAACATGATAATTTTAAAAATCCAGTATCTGTGCCATTTAAGGTATTTTAATCTATTAAATTTTTGAATACTAGTAATTACTTTGTGAATATAAATTGCCCTCAAGTAGTTGTGGACTACAAGTTTCTCCTTCTGTTAATTAAAAAAAATGGTTCATTGATTAATTTAACTCATATTAGGCTGCAGCTCTTCCATTTCCTACATCATATGTTCCTTCTGACTTCAATGGTCACTCATGCCATAAATATTGTGGTTAAAGTGTTTCTTAATGAACATTTGGGAGTATTAATTGTGGAATTCGTACAACTACACAATACAGTCACATCAGTCAAAGATAATTCTTTCAGTTCCTTTGGCAGAATTGCAGTTAAGATGAGCTCTGTGTAATGCTATAAAAGAAATCCTGGCTCAAGAATTGCAGCTCCCTCATATATTTAAACTAGGGAAGAGCTACATTTTACAGTAAACATTTTAGAGGCTGATGATTCTTGAAACAATCTTTTTGCCTCTACAATTTTAGGAAAAAAGTTTTTGAGACAATTACTAACAACCTGAACATTTTGTGCAGGAAAAAAAACACAAGAGAAATTACAAAGTTCATTAATACAAAAGTAAGTTCACAGTTATTTTGGCCTTAAAGTAATTCATGTGAATACATTCGTTCATTACTGTAAATTAGGCTTTTTCTTAACAAGTGCAGGAAAAAGTGTACATCTGTCAGTCACATTCAAGCACTCTGCAAAAGTCTGCTTTGAAGTTACAAATGTTACTGACTAAATCAGTCTCAGCAGACCCTGTTCTTGCTGCCCTTCAGCCAACCCCCCTCAACACAGGATAAATAGAACCCTTGTAAAGGGTGTCCCCACAATTTAAGTGCTAGCCAGGCCCTCTCCCCCAGTTTTGGACTTTGGGTCATAGTTAAACTTGCTTATCTCTTTGATACATTTTATTTTTTTTCAGCTCTGGAATTAAAAAAAATAGTATTTGCGTAATTAGAATTCTAATCCAAATTGATATTTACACACCTAGGGTATTCATGAGGGAGAAAGATAAGTAATGGGCAAATGCACGGGAGGCAAATGTACCTATGGAACAAAATTTACACATTTTCTCTTTTTAATGCAATAATTTTTTCCCTTGTAATAAGTAGAAGACTCTTTTCTAAGCTACCCATATTGCAGTAATTGGCTGGGTTAGTCAGAGCTTTTGCTGGATATTTCTAATCTTCTTTGAACAGAACTTGATGTTCTACTCTGGTTGCCTTCATTTTTCCGCCATAGAATAGGATCTTCTAGACTGCCAGGTGTCTTGAAAAATGTTTCTTGAGTTGTTGGACGCATATTCTTAGGAGTTAGTGGAGTTGTAGAAGGCTATGCACAAAATGAGATAATACAGTTTAATAGAGATTATATATATCAACTTATTCCCACTCAACAAAACTTTTAGCATTGTAAGAAAAAAATAGCATTGTAAGAAATGCTCAATCCCATACTAGTGAATGCAATGCTGATTTGTTAGACTTGAAACAATGGAACAAAATTCTTACTCGAGAAAATTATTTCAGAGGCCAAAAAATCTGTGCATTAAAAACATTTCCATTGGACAGTTGCAAAAGGCCACAGTGCTTGGACCCACCAATATATTATGACATCCTAGGTTCTTAGGAAGAACTACATCCATATGAAGCCCAAAATGAGCCCAAAAAACGGCAGCTATGATTTCAATGTTGTAAATAGGTAATAATGCTAAAACCAATCTAAACATATAGCTGTTTGTGCAATCAACCATAATAATAATAATGCAAGTATCTCCAGCAGTATGGATATACCGTATATTCCGGCGTATAAGACGACTTTTGAGAGTGTCGAAACAGCCTCTGAACTCAAGGGTCGTCTTATACGCCGAGTTGTCTTATACGCCGGAAATAAGGTAGTTTTTGGCATATAAGATGACTTTCTAGGCATGCGACTCAGCGTCGATCATCTTATACGCCGGAAATACCGGTAGTTTCCGGCGCATAAGACGACTTTCTAGGCATGCAACTCGGCGTCGATGGTCTTGCGACTCGGCATCGATGGTCTTGCGACTCGGCGTCGAACTAGGGGGTCGTCTTATATGCCGGGTCGCCCTATACGCCAGAATATACGGTATATGCACTGCAGAATGCATGGATCTAAAAATGAAATATTTCAAATTAAACAACTAAATAATTATATGAGTAATTACCTGAATGAAGGCCTTATAATAAAAAAAATCTGTTTACAACATAACAAAATAATTAGCAATAACTTTATGAACTTTAGGTGGCAGATATGAACCAGTTTTGGAAATAATATCTAGCTTAAGTAGAATCAATATTATTGTATTAATATCTTCCTATGAATGTTTCCTCCTTGCTTTATAATAATATTCCCTTTCTCACCTGTGGTAGATTCAGAAGAGTAACTGGATGTCCCATGCAAATTGATGAGTCCGTTTTAACGGAGTTGCAAGCAGATCCAAGGAGAGGATTCAGATGTACAGCTGAATGAAACTGCTGGTGTGGTTCCAGTGTAGGTATCTGTGATGAATTTGGAGTTAGCACAGCAGGGGTTCCAATGAAAACAGGAGTTGTAGAAGTCAAGCCAGGCATACTAAAATTCACGCAACTGACATTTGAGAAAGAGGCAGAAGATGAAGAATGAAGTTGGCTTGTTCCTGCCGAGGAATAGATAAGAGGGAATGGTGCCAATGCAGTAGATGGAACCATCATACAAGGAACATTAAGTGAAGGCAAGCGGCTTGAAGGTAGGCTGACAGGAGCAGAGGCTTGGTTGGTAGGAAACAGGAAATTAAAACCATTTAATCCTAAAACAAAAGAAAGAAAAAGATACCAAATACAGTAAAATCCTGTCTTCTCAAGGATAAAGACAAAATAGCAATAACCTGTAAACTTTCACATTCAAAACGTTGAGCTCAAAATACCATTTGAACTTCATTGAATATCACTGGATGTGTTTGAGCCTACTCAGAAATCATAAGAGCTTCAGGCATAGAATTAGAACACTCCTGGAAGCATTAAGCTGAAATGTATCAAGACATTCAGTTATATATCTGCTATATTATGTATCTATCTGGACTTTTTTCATTTTTTTAAAAGAGTTGATGGCATTTTATTGAAAATCTCCCTAGGAATTTATAGCTTTTGTGAAAATATATTTTATCTAAATGCCAAGTTAACATGCATGTTCTCAGTTTAGCCCTTACCAGCTGGAGGCTGTACGTAGAGATACTGTGGTAAAAAAGATGGTTTGCTATTTTCCTGAGAGGTTTGTTCCTTTTCTTTCAAGTTTTCTTTTACATCTTTATTCCTGTGTGGTTCTTCATGGTCCTGGGTTGCTGTTATGACAGTTTCCAGAATTTCAGAAGTCCCTGATTCAAGTTGAAAGCCTTTCTGTTGGTCAAGGGAGCTGTGGTTATTGTCTGAGGAAGATTTTGCATCAGCTGGCTGAATGGTCTTCTAAAAAAAAAAAATACACAAACAACCTCATCTTAGGATATACATTACTGTGTGTGACTCTGCCACAAATATTCTGAATCTACTCGTGAAAGGTTAAACAGTTCCTTTTGGAGTATTTTCCCTTAACTTTGAGGAAACTTTCATAGAGTGCTGGACCAGCAGGAGTTAATTCACAGAACATGAAGAAAGGAGTAAGAGCCAATATTCCCTTTCTAAATAAAAAAAACCAGCAAAGATAGTCACCATAAAAAGACAACCATGTGATATGCAAGGGAGATGGAATATACTATTTCATAAATACAATATCTATTCCTTCGGATGACTCCCTGAAATAGCTTTTTACAGGTTCTGAATTTCTCTTACCTTGGGTACTACTAATGAAATGGGACCATCGCTCTGCTCCAGGCTTTGTCTTTTGGCTACGGATGCCTCTTCAAATGGAGCTGCAGTGGGAGGTATATACTTCTGGGAACTCCGCTTGCGAAAGTAAACTGGAGATTTGGTAGTTTCTGATGAGCAAGGGGAAACATGGCCTTCTGTGTCTTCACTTCTTTTTTCTGGAAAATTTTCCCGTGAATGACTTTCATGAAGTTTGCCACACAGCATATAAAGGGATGGAGATGGCAAGTAAACAAAAGGTTGGCTGGGGAGTGCATTGGTTTCCCTTGTCTCAGTTTTGGAAGCTGATACAGCAGATGATGGTACATTTTGATTGTTTATCCCATTTTGTAAAGACCGATGTGATGCATCTGAGTTGGTCTTTTCAGGAAAGCAAGAGAAGACATTAGCACAATAGTCTGAATCTTCTGGAACAGGAAAAACTGAGAAGGAAGAAATGATGCCCATATTTCTTGCTGCTTCAATACTTCTATTAGAAAGATGAAGGAAAATAATTAGACCACATTAAACTATTCCCATTCTAACATAATCTTTGTCAAACAGCTTTGGATGCAACCCAAATATCTAGAGGTTTAGATAAATGAAACTATTTCATTTAATTGATGATGGGAAGAAGATATGAGGAACTGAAAGAGATTCAGATAAGCAACATTTAGGCAACAGAATTAGGTCTGAAATAGGCCTGTGGTAAATTGCAGACACAATGTGAATTAATATACCTACTAGTAGAACAAATCCATTCTTTCACACGATGGTTAATCACCCTAATTAAAAATATCTCATTCATGCATTACATCTTTATGTAATTGATGTGGTTTCTATATATCATAAATATAGCTAGAAATAAATATTCTAGAAGTTCATCTCATTCTAAAGTCACTTTATGTTATGACATATGGCTACAGTACCCCATTCAATGCTTCATGAAACACAGACATCAGCCTTCCACCACTAAACTGTAAGTTGTCAACAAGTTTAAAACAGAATATTATTTTTATAAGACATCAGATTTCAATTTCTATGTACCTTTTATTATCTTCCAAATTTTGGCAGCAAACAGATGCTAGGCTTATCATTTTAGAACAGTAATCATCTAAGGAAGATCAGAAAATCAAATCAATTATCAGTGTGTGATTGTAATACATGGGGAACATATAGGATTAAGTAAAAAGAAAAGTCAGCGAAAAAGCATTTCACAATCTCTTTGATGAACTGTCAAAAAGGATCAAGAATACAACCTTTTATATATATTTCTAGACTTGTATTTATCAACCCTGAGCTACAAATATTTTGTTTATTAATTGGTAGTCTAATTTTAGTTTACAGACAGAAACTGTGTTACACAAAAATAAACACACAAACATTTAGTTATTAATTGAAAGCTATTAGAAGAGCTATGGCTTTGGTAACGTGCTTGTCCCAACATTTACCTTGCCTTTCTTTGTGTGGGCTGCTTGGTTCAGAACTAACTTTCCTTTTGACCATTTCAGAAGGCTGAGGAACACTGAAAGAAGCATGGCGTGACAGTCGATCTTTTCTATTAGAGTAAGCTTGATGTGGAACACGGGTTGGTCTTTTCACTTCAGTAAGAGTAGCACAGGTTCGAACTTCCATTTTTGTATCACCTAAACAAATACACTATTATTAAATTGATTACTCAAAGGATGACATATTTTATTATTTACTAGACTATGAGTCCCGTAGCAAAACATATAGTCCCTTTATTACTTTTTCTGCTACATTTTCTATATGGGAAAAATGAACCTTTTTTCCCCTTCTAACAGTCTTCTTACCATAAATCATACCTCTGCTTCCTAACTATTTGCTCATCATATATAATAGTAAAATTACTCCTTGTCTTGCTTCAGAATGTCACTGACATGCTAGCAACTTTTTTCATAAAATTGTATTTATTGAACAGTGTGTTTACATCATCTCTCCATATCTGTTCTGTCATGTCTCATTTAGAGCTTGCCATGTTAAATATTTATATGTTCACAAATTATTCATCTCTGATGTAGTCTTGGTACATCACATGGATACTAAACCCGTCAGATTAATAAATATATACTTGACTAAACAAAATCATAGGCAGAACTGTTTTTCTATCACCTTATAATACAGTGGTTCTCAACCTGTGGGTCGGGACCCCATTTGGAGTCGAATGACCATTTCACGGGGGTCACCAAACCATGCTGTCCGCCATTTTTTTCCCTTTTCCCTAGCTGTCCTACTCCCTCTTATTGGTGGCCACAGCCACTTGGGGGTCACCACAACATGGGGAACTGTATTATGGGGTCACGGCATTAGAAAGGTTGAGAATCACTGTTATAATACTATTGAATTTTTTTACAGTTTTATCTGGATATCATCAGTTTTCTTCATAAATCCAGAAACTGATGTAAAGCTATCTGGGAAATGACTTGGTAATGCAAAAGTAGAAAAGTACCATTATTTCCAGTGAATTCTACAGGCCCAATCCATTTGAAGGCTGGTTTACGACCTCTTTCTTCTGTTACATGCACTTTCTTGATGAGCCCAAGACTTGTCAAGACATTAGCTATATCATACAGTCTTCTTACCTTTGCTGAAACGAAAACAGCTATAGTTCAAATATAATTAACTGTATGTCCTCATTCGTTACATATAAATTTAACAAATTTAAAAAAAGCAGTGTTAATGAAAAGCTAAAATTATGGGGAATTGGCACAAAGTAAAGTGTCCTGCAGAATGTTGACGGTCATTTGAATGAATAAATAAGTGGATAGACCTAAAAAAATCAATGTTATACATTAAAGGATTTATCAGTGAGTAATGACAGTTGGATGCTGTTGGATTTAACCCCTGTAGGTTATTTTCGTTTTATTAATAACAAATTAGAAGCACAGCATTTTAGAAGAATAAAACTAGCATTTCAAGTAATACTACTTTTAATTTTTTAACATTGATTTTAATCAAGCAAGACTGTACCCTATCTGAAATGTGTTAGTATCTTAGCCTTTGACAAGAGATGCCATACTTATTTTATGTGATATCATTTCAGTAACTATCACACAAAATTATTATTGCATAACATTTGAAACAGATTTCCTGGTATTTGTACATTATACTTATTTTCAAATTGAAATTGCTTTTAAAAGATTTTTAAAAATCATATGCTGTATGTTCTCTAATTCTGCCAATATAACTACTACTTTTCTTGCTGACTCAGAACATTCATTCCCCAGAAGTGATTCTTACTTTTAAACTTGCTGTGATCAGCAGTATCCTGGCTTTCTTCTATCAATATTTTTGCTGCTATGTCAAGAGTGACTATCTTGGTCTTGGAGACAAGGAACAGCATGACAAATTTCTGGCTCATAATCCTCAATGACTTGTCCTTTCTGCTGTTTGCAGATGCTATATTACAAACAAAACCCAAATCACAACATGTTACAATATTAACAGCCAAGAAAATATTACGAAGACTTGTGCAAGACAAAAAGTGAAAGAAACAAAATTCTCATTGGAAAGCATGTTTTTAATGAGCAGAAAATAATTGCCTGTAACAGATGGATAGCTGCACTTTAACTATCTCCAGGAAAGATGAAAGGATTATAAAATGATATTTTAAACAAGTGAAGTTGGAATGATTATTCATTAGGGAAGTGCAATGCTTTGAATCCAAAGCACCTTGTCATTTTCTTGCTAATCACTCCGTAACTCAAACATATATTTCTCTGGGATGACACAATTACTATATATGCCTGTGAAAAATCTTCATTTTTTGAAGGAGAATCTGAAGGTGCCCATATTTGTTTTAAAACATCAGTCTGCTTCAGATGTGAATTGCTGCACTTCCCTATTCTCCATCAATTGTACCAGAACGTAGAAGCATGACATCAAGTTATAAAACAATAGCCATATACTCTATGGGCTGCAACTTGAGGGCAAAACACAAGTGTTATTTGACATGTGATTGACCACTTGAATTTAAAGAAAATGATTGTTTGGATCTAATGATTTCTTTAAAAATGTAAAAGAGAATACAGCATATACTTCTTACATACATTTTTTAATATTGTCAGTTCTCTTCCTTAACTTACCAGATTGACAATCTGTCTCTGAGAAGTCAAGCAATTGTCGATCTTGGAAATCTACAAAGCTCTCTTTTTTGTGTTCTCCAAACCTACACTCAAAGTCGAGTTCTTTCTGCTGGAAAGAAGTCATGAGTTCTTCATATTTTTGAATCTCTCCTATTTCTTGGAGTTTTTTCAGAGTCTGGCTCAAACTGTGGCGACCATGCCAACAATACTGATTCTTAGCAACTCGACTAACAAGATCAAGAGATTCCAGGACATTCACTATATCATAAATTCGCCTGCGTTCAACTCCTAGATGTAGGAAACCAAAGCATAAGACAGAGAACATAATCAAGGAATTGTAGCAATAGAATTTTTGAGAGGGAAGACAAATGATGGAGGTTTACTTCTAAGTGCAGGGATCCCATTTTTTTTCTGCTTAGCATTCAACTACCTCTGTAAAAATCAGGACTAACAGAAATGTTACAATTCTGATGAGATTGTAATTGCATTAATTTATATAAGATAAAAACAATATGGTAATGTGATAGAAACACCTTAGGAACTACTTGTGGCAGTATAAATTTTAAAAAATACTGCTAAGTACTCTGCATTATTCAACAGAATGTGCAGAGGATGCATCAGAAGACCTATAGATCATAAATTGTCCTCATACCATTAATACCAGTTGCAAGAGATTCTAGATTATGCCTTCATAACAAAGTGACATTTTGATTTCTCCTGCTCAGGAATTTTGTAAGTTCAGAAGATCTGGCAGTGATGCTATTTATGTCAATAAAGGTTTGTATCATTAATAAGAAATGATGGGGTATCAAAAACTGCAGAAGTTAATTTACTTGTGAAGTACATTGTGAGGTAGCTATAAATAGGAAGTTGCAAAAGCATTATTCTTCCTTAATATGGTAATAACCTTGACTGTAACAGAACTTCCTTGTGAGATGTCATGCACAGGACTGTACTGTAAATCAAATGATTAAGATCCTTTTCATTTACGGTACCAATGGTTAATTGTATTTTGTATGAATAAATGGAAAATAAAAACTTTTTTAATAAAAAAAAAGATCCTTTTCATTTAAAGATACTCATTTGCAATTGATCTTGTAAGAACAATTCTCTGTTGTATGTAATGGGGACAATTGGTGACACACTGGCTCTGTTTAAAATGTTATATTCTAATATGCTTGTATGAACAAGGAATTATTGATCCATGAACAATATCCTTGAGCTCTGCCAGATTCCATATCAGCTTCAGCTCATTAATGGGCCGCCAATCCTGTACAATATTTCCAAAGGTAACTAACAATATCGTAGAAGCAACACATAGTTTCTAAGTTCATATATACATATAAATATAAACACTGAAAAGAGTTTAACAATTACTGTGCAGGAAGAATAACAATCCCAAGTCCAAGAGAAAAGTAATAACCAGCTCCTGTTAAGGCTGCTTTCTGGAATCTGAATTTGTTCCAGTGAAAGGAATTTTTGAATTCTTATTTTTTTATTCCAATAGCAAAACTGTCTTAACGTTCCTTAGTGAAAAGAGTGGGAGCTCTTGATTTATTATAAGAGGATTTAAAATGTCTTACGGTCTTGTAAATGCACATATATTATCTGTAACACAAATATACAGATATTTGTAATGTCCCAAAAGAATTATGTAAAACTGAGTAATACTGTTAGAGATAAGAAGACTAGCACTATTAACCGGCAGTAATGCAACTTTAAATACTATTATTATAAGTAGCAGAAATAGTTGCTCCTTGTTCATGACTTGAGTCTTTGAAAAATTTAAGATAGTTCACCTTTAAATATACATTGAGATAGGTATTTTTCTTGAAGTTGATAGTGTCAATAAAATTAAGTAGGCAACTGGGAACCAGCAGCATATTCAGTTTCTGAGATACTTGATACACTAGAACAACTTGTTAAATACTTTAAAAGCAAAAAACCCTACTTAGATTATACAAAATACAATAGGTTAAAAAAACCATGATAGTTATAGTCATTTACTTTTACTTTTTTTTTCTTTTTCCTGTTGTATTTTTTTTTCACTTTTTAAAAAAGTACTTTCTGTATGGGGCTTTTTTTTGCATTGATGTATTTTATCCTAATTATTCTTGGGTTTTTGTTTTTCCCCTTTTTGTCATTATTTTATAAGTAATGATAATAATAATAAAAAAGAATTCAGCTGGGAGCAGATTACTTTGAATCTGTGGTATATAAACTTGCTATTTATTCTCCATTCAAAGATTTACATTTGGAATAAAAGCATATTTTCTATTTTTCATTATCCATGAGCTAAACTGAAGATGGTTGCATTAATGTGAGTTTTGGGTACTATAAAAAGTGTAAGTTGAGAGATATGTAGTTACTTTGGCTTAACAGCAGATCTGGGGGATGTAAGTCTTCACTGAAAATAATTTACTGCTCTTATATTTCTTGAGGCTTCATTTCTCATTATATTTTTCATTAAACTTCCTACAGAAGAGAAATAACTTTGCTATGCAAAACAACTATTTTAAGGCAATCTGCTATAAAAAAACGTAAGAAATCATATAATTATATGAGGCCAAAATTACATCAATAGTCTAGTAATACTGGCTCACCTATAAAGACTTAATAGCCGATTTTTGTTTAATGTAGTCTCCCCCGATCTGCTGTCTTCTTGTTGGATATGACTACAACTCACAGCCAGCAAGGCATTTCCTGTTCAGCCTTGGGTGGCAATATATTTTGAGGAAACTATCAAACCTTCCATTGCCCTTTTCTTTGGGGTAGGCCCAAACTAACCTCATATCCCTATTCAAATGTATTATTCCTTGTCTTTTGCTAGCACTGTACTAGTGATCACTGCTGCCATTTCTCTCTTCAGTAAACCAAGGGGAACCCTGGAGTAGAAGTAGTCCTTGACTTATAATTGAGCCAAAATTTTTATTGCTAAGGCAGTTTTTAAGTGTGTTTTGCCCCATGTTTTGATTTTTTTTGCAACAGTTGTTAAGGGAACCACTGCAGTTGTTAAATGAATCATGTGCTTGTTCAGTGAGTCTGGCTTCCTCCATTGACTTTGCTTGCTGGAAGCCAGCTAGGAGAGTTACAAATGGTGATCATATGACCCCATGACAGTGCAACTGTCATAAATGCATGCCAGTTGCAAAGCGCCTGAATTTTGATCCTATGAACATGGGGATGCTGCAATGATCTTAAGTGTGAAAACAGTCGTAAATCATTTTTTTCAGTGCCATTGTAACTTCAAACAGTCATTAAACAAATGGTTATAAGTTAAGGATGCCTTAATGAACAGAAAGCTGCTCTGGGTCAATCTCTAGAATATGGAAGGAACCAAATACTGAATAGAATAGAATAGAACTGGAAGGGACCTTGGAGGTTTTCTAGTCCAGCCCCCTGCTCAAGCATGAGAATCTATTAGAGACCGAGTGCCCAAATCGCAACCCCAAACCCACTTATTTATCTCTGGGTGCCAGGTGGGCGTGGCTGTGGTCATGACAGGCTGGGTGTGGTCAAGGTCGACATGGTCATCTTGATGTTGCTCGTGGGGAGGGACACCTGTGGGGGCCGGGCAGGGTTGGGGGAGATCCAGGGGTCTCTGGCAGGTGGGCAGGAGGCTTGTCCTGCGGGGTGAGGCAAGGCAAGGCGAGGTAGGGTGGGGGTGCCATTGTCGCAGGGCAAGGCGAGGCAGGGGCGGCTGATGCCTGACACCATCGGCCCCCGCCCACAGAGGCCAGCGAGCGTATGGAGGCCGACAGTGTCCGTCAGCAGCCACAGCCCCTCTGGGGCTCCGCAGCCCACCGCCAGCAGTTCAGAGAAGCTGCCTCTGAGCTGAACAGCTGGCCGACAGCTGAGGAGGTGATACAGTGAGTCGTACCCAGAAAAAGGAGAGCATGTGAGGCCAGGAGGGATGGGATGGGGGGGAGGGAAACCAGCCATACTGGGATGCATCCGGGCACGTGGGACCTCGGCGAGTTAGCGAGCAGCTGGTTGAAGAGGGATAGTTGCCATCTCTGGAGCATGGTGCACGTGCCCAGAGAGGGCTCTGAGTGCTGCCTCTAGCATGCGTGCCATAGGTTCGCCACCACTGATACCAGGGCTTTTCAACCTTTTCACCCATGGTACCACTTTTAGGATATGGCAACATCCGAGTACCACCAGTCGCCTAGCAAGGTGTCAAAAACTTGATGACCAAAAAAAAAAAAAAAAAAGTGATGAAGTACAGGTAGTTCTCGACTTACAACAGTTCGCTTAGTGACTGTTCGAAGTTACAATGGCACTGAAAAAAGTGCCCCCCAAGCCACAGCTGAGCAAGGTGCCTGCCTGCCCGCCTGGTGGTACTCTTCCTCCTGTGTGAGGTTTTCATTGTTGTGAGCATTTCTGTTGAGGATTGGCATCGGAGGTGGGGTAGGGGTGTTTGGTTTTTATTCCCCCCCCCCTATCTGCTGGGTGGTTGCAGCAGGTTTTGGTCACTTCATATGACCCTGGGACACTGTGACCCTCATAAATATGAATCAGTTGCCAAGCATCTGAATGTAAATCACAAGACCCTGGAGAGGCTGCAACATTCCAGCTGATCGGCGCTTCTTCTGAGCCCTGACAGCCGTGCAGCTCCAGCCACCTCTCGCTCAGGCTTGTGCGGTGCTGCCACAGGTTCAGCTCATTCCCCTCCCCTGCAACTGGGATGGTCGCGTACCACCTGCCAGGTGCCAATGTACCACAGGTGGTACCCGTACCACTGGTTGAAAAGCCCTGATCTATACCATCTCAGATAAGTGACTGTCTAGCCTCTTCTTAAAAATCTCCAGTGATGGAGTGCCCACAATTTCTGGGGTCAAGCTATTCCACTGGTTAATTGTCCTCACTGTCAAGAAGTTTCTTCTTAATTCCAGGTTGTTTCTCTCGTTGATCAGTTTCCAACCATTGTTTCTTGTCCTGCCCTTTGGTGCTTTGCTGAATAACATGACCCCCTCTTCTTTGTGGCAGCCCCTCAAATACTGGAATACTGCTATCATGTCTCCCCTATTTCTTCTTTTCTTTAGACTAGCCAAACCCAAGTCCTGCAGCCATTCTTCATATGTTTTAGTCTCCAGGTCTTTGATCATCTTAGTTGCTCTTCTCTGAATTTTTTCCAAACTCTCAACATCTTTGTGATGTGGTGACTAAAATTGGCTGCAGTATTCCAGGTATGGTCTTACTAGGGTTTTATAAAGTGATATTAATACATCGCGTGATCTTGATTCTATGCCTCTGTTTATACAACCCAGGATTGTGTTAGCTTTTTTGACTGCTGCTGCACACTGCTGGTTCATGGTTAAATGATCGTCCACTAGGACTCCAAGGTCCATCTCAGAGTTATTGTTTTTAAGCCAGGTCTTGCTCAATCTGTATTTGTACCTTTGATTTTTTCTACCTAAATGTAAAACGTTGCTTTTCTCCACACTGAAGTTCATTTTGTTGGATAGGGCCCATTGTTCAAGTTTGTCAAGATCTTTTTGGATCCTGAGTTTGTCTTCTGGAGTGTTGGCTACTCCTGCCAATTTGGTGTCATCTGCAAATTTGATGAGTTCCCCTTCAATTCCCTCATCTAAGTCATTGATGAAGATATTGAAGAGTACTGGGCCTAAGACAGAATCTTGTGGTACCCCACTGCTTACTTCCCTCCATGTAGATGTAGTACCATTAAGGACTACTTGTAGAGTATGGTTTGTCAGTCAGTTACAAATCCATCTGTACGGTTTGTCAGTCAGTTACAAATGTCTATCCCACATTTTTCTAGCTTACCTAGAAGTAGGTTGTGGTCTACTTTGTCAAATGCCTTGCTGAAGTCTACATATACTAGGTTCACAGCATTTCGCTGGTCTACTTAGTCACTTTGTCAAAGAATGAAATAAGATTGGTTTGGCATGATCTGTTTTTAACAAACCCTTGCTGGCTACTAGTTATAACTTTGTTTGCTTCTAGTTGTTCACAGATCTGTTTTTTGATTATCTTTTCTAGGATCTTCCCAGGTATTGATGTTACAAATAGAATATTTTAGTTTCTTCTATACTCTAGAGTCTGACCAACTGTGTGTGGAACTGCTCATAAAATTTCTGGGATATTTCCCAACGATTTCTGAAAACAAGAGTGATCCATAAGGCACACTGAGTGCCCTATTTTAATGGGTTCTCAGTCCTGCAGCAGTTGGTGATGTGCACAAGCCTCAAAGTTATTAGAAAGAGATATTTTCTTGACAAGGGGCTAGTAGCGATATCCTTCAGAAGATCACATATTTGAGGTAAATGCCAAATCAAGTGTGGCCCATGATTACCTGAGATTACCCCTGTTGTCATGGTGGCTATGAAGTTCTGGCTCGATTCTTTAGGGAGAAAGCTGGAAATTCCTCAGCATTTCAGTTTCAGGAAATCAACCAGATACCCAGCAATGAATTTAAATAGCTTGGGGATGGAGACTGTTGAGAAGCAGGCAGGGCAACACAACACCATCATTTCCAATTTATCACTCAGCTCAGCTTCACAATTGGCAATTTGTGGAACTGATCATTTGGTGACAATCAAAATATTCTGCAGCACTATTGCAATGACCCCTCTCTAGTCTTAGAATTATAGGTAGTAAAATAATGATTTTCATGATTTTATTGATAAAGAATATATCGGAGACTAAAATTTGCATCATCAAGAAATAAGGAGATATGAACTGAGTCAACTTAAAACATGGAAGATACGAAATCCCCCAAAAGAAATTTGGAAATTCTATAACTGATTATAAAGAAATTATGTGGTTCACATTTTAAAGCAAACAACTCATTTCATGTTTTCAGGTATTAGATGGGTTGAAATAGTTCAGTTTTAATGCTTGTCTAAATTAGCAATGCACTTATTAATTTCAAAGCATACTATTCACACTATATAGTGCATGATATTATTATGTGATAATAATTGATGTGGAAGGGAGGCGATATAGACTTAAGAGTGAATACGTGCCTGTGAAAGTAACACCATGAAACACACTGATCTGATACAGACTCTTTCAGCTATGCTTTTTCCTACTGGAATGCATTGTTGGATCGATTCCTGTGAAGGAATCACTTGGCAGCATTACAAAACAATTTAGCAGCACCTTCTGAGAAAACAAATAGAATACATGCAAATTACACATGGCATATTTACAGCACTATGTCTGATGGATTCACATTAAGGTCTATATTTAGTTTATTAGGAACATTCACTTTTGCAATCAACATTATTTTGCTTGGATACATACCAAGACTGGACGCCACTTCATCCAAAGAAATTGTTGTCTTCTCTGCTGATAAAGGGTAACTAGGATAGCGAGCTAAAAATTTTTGACACAGCAATCCTAAGCTTTTCTGTTTTCTGCTGGGTCTTTGCTTTTCATATTCATCTGCAATTCCATCATCTGCAGTATCACACTAGAAACAGAGAGAATGGTTCTTTATGGCCATGTGTTACATTATGCTAAAACATTAGTTACATATAGCTATTTACTAATACATGTACAAACTATTATGTTTTAGAAACTCATTTCTGAAAACTAGATGTATTGCTTTCTTATTACAAACTGTATTAGTATTCAGAAAAATATAATTTAGAAACATGCTACTATAATTCATATAGAAAGCAGATTTGGTTTAAAAAAGTGCTGTTTTACTTATAGTTTGAAACAAAACCTTGCTATGGAAAATCCAGGGAGAATATTTCAGCTCTTAAGAACCACCAACTGATCTGGTATTCATATATATTTTCTTTCCTCTTTGGAAGCTTCTATGTTACACATTTTCAGAAGTGTTTTCACTAGAATGAGTGAAGAATGCTTCAATTCAACTAGTCACTTCTTTTCCAGCAACCGCTCAAATATTTCACAAGTAGGTACAAAGTTTGGGGACCCACCCATTTTAATTTAGACTGCATTGAGGAAGATACTTTTGCAATGCCTAAAAGTCTATACAGCATATTGTCTTTTCTGTCTGTTCCTGCTCATCTTCCTAGTCTCATATACAGTACATATCCATTCATCCATACATATGTACAGGGCTTTTTTTTTGTCAAAGAACCCCCAGAACGGAGTTCCGGCACCTTTTTTGGATGGAACCTTGTAGGGTTGTATGATGTGTGTGAGTTCCGGCACTTTTTCTTTTTTTTACAAAAAAAGCACTGCATATGTATACCACAGTGCCAAAATTATTAGTTAATATATTGGTAGATAACACGAGACTCTGATACAATGTAAGCAGGGGTATTACGGCAAGTTGAGATTTTATTAAAATGATGAAATGTCATAATGTCACAATGCAAGCTCCACCTCTTATACACTTGCATGCAATATCTCAGTGCAAGTACAAAAGGGGGAGACCGATTTTGGACTTCCACCCACTAACAGTGCATATCTATGACAGTAAGTGGCGATTCCTAAAATATCACTGTAGTCAAAGTGAAGTTTTTGCAGGCTAAATTGAATCAATATGTTAATTATTATTGGGAATGTTTCAATCTGGTTCTAAATTGATAGAATTTTTTATGATCTTTCTTATTCTTAAACGTTACTAAGAAACACAGTAAGGCCCTGGTCATGGGTTTGCACAGGGAAACCTGCAGTGATATAAGGGGGAGAAAGAGAAATACAGGAAGTCCTTGATTTACAACCACAATTGGGATTGGAATTTTGGCCATAAGTTGTTGCAGATGTAACTCAAGGCAACATATGACCACAACTGAAGTTTTGACAGTTTTTTTATGGTGGTCATGTGTTTGAAAGTCCAAGTCCACTTTCCCAAATGGGGGTTTTCTGCTGGAAATTGGCAAAAAAATGAAGCAGTGGTTGTAAAGTGCACAAAATGAGATCATATGACTGTGGGAGAGGGGACGTTTTACAATGACTTTAATTTCCAATTTCTTTAACTTCAAACAGATATTAAATGACCAGTCATAAATTGAAGATTATCACTATTCGTAGCAACAAAATTCCATGTTTTAGTACCAAATCTTTATTTATATATATAAGATTTTATTAATTTTCTCATTTTACAATTGAGTATTTAAAAAGCAATGTGATGACTGGGTTAATCAATAGTTCAATAGCATACATAAATCTTTAGTATAAACCTCACATTACAACATCAGATATTTCCTCTCTTTTTCCCTTAATATCTACTATCTCATATTAAGCTAATACAAATATTATTATCAACTAAATAAAAACATCTTTGTTACAATTATCAATAGTGTTTAGCTTATACATATCTTAATTGCGTTTGCATTTGATCCTTATATACAGTCAATGTCCTGTTATTGCTTCCCCCTCCAAGCTTTAATTTCCCATCAATATTCATATTATTTGTTATTTATGATTTCCAAGTGTTTTATATTTAGGGGACCAAAGTTTCCCCTATCTCAATTTCTTACTTTTTCCCTTTTCATAACAAAGTCTAATATTCTAAATACACATCTTATCTATTTGATTATAAATCTTGTTCTGTTTCCTAAAAGTTATCTATTTTCCCCCATGTTAAACCATGTAATTAATAATACCGTATCCCCTCTAATAAGTCAAAATCATTATATGTGTTATCTGGGTTAACCAATAATTCAGTAATATACATAAATATCTCATATTGGGCAAACAAAATTCTTATTTTCAACTAAGTAAAAACATTCTTGTTACATTTATCAATACTTTTTAGCCTATACATAAACTTTAATTTCCCATCAATATTCAAAGAAAAACACACACACACTGTTATTTATGATTTCCAAATATTTTATGTTAGGTGATCAAAATTTCCCTTATCTCATCTTCTCCCTTTTTCCCTTTTCATACCAAAGCCTAATAGTCTTGTTACACATCTTAGCTATTCAATTATAATGTTACTTTATTTTCTAAAAGTTATCTATTTTCTACCATATTCAACCTTCTAATTAATAATAAAATATCCCTTCTAATAAATTAAACCCATTATTTTCTGCAGCCTTACTCTGGCTTTCTTCCTTTGCCAGCTAACCTTCCATGTCAGTGCCTCTGAATCATCAACTAGTTCTCCCTCTATTATTATATATATTATTTGGAATAAGAAAGACCATTTGACTGAAGTTTTTTTGGAAGAACGAGCCCATTTGTATTCATTAGATTGCCTCTCTATTACTCCAATTTCCCACAAGTGTCCTGATAGGTTTATCTTCCATTCAGTCTGTTCTTCCTTTTCCTCAAATTTCTTCTGATTTTTGTAAAAAGTCTTTTCCAGTTTCAATGTTGCCGCTCCCTTTTCTGATTTTTCCGTTGGCTGGGTCTTTTGATCAGTTGGGTCCTCTGTCTTGGTGTTTAGTTGTTCCAATTTTCCTGTTATTTCCTGCATTGTTAGTTCTTTGGTTGTAGTCAAGATCTGGGTTTGTATATTTAAGCTGGCATCTTGGTTCCTTTATGTTGTTTATTTCGTCACAAGCTGAAAGGATGGTTTCATATATTGATTTCAACATGGAAAGGATTTTTTCCTGGTCTTCATCCATATTCTCTTAATAGTATGTTAAGTTGCAAACTTTAGAATCAAACGTTAAAAATAGTTTTTTGTCTTTTGTAGCTGAGTATGGGACATCTATTTCACATGTTATAGGTGGTCTTTATGGTAGAAATTGTTTGTCAAGTAAAAGTTTATGGTCCCAGGTGTTCCATCATCTCATATAATAACATACGCTTCTAACGTAAAGAAATAGGAAAGCAATTCCCCAAGTATAGCTCTGAGAGTCAGTAAAAGTTTACATTCATAATTCCAGCAGGGTAGATATGCCGCCCAGAAGTTCCTTCTTTGGAGCTGGGTATTTCACAGGTGGTAGTTGTCAAGGTCAAGGAAATTTTATCTAAAGTCTGGGCTTCAAGCAAAGTCTCTTTAGGGCAATAACAAATCGTCACAAGATGTCACCGACGCCATTTAAAGCTTTTTAAGTTCAAAATTTTAAGTCCAATTTTTTATGATAGTTTTTCAAGTCTTATTTCTTTTAAAATAAAAACAAACGTCTCCAATGAGAAAAGGAACACTTTTAATCCCCAAGTTTTAAAAGAATATACATCCAATTAGATTAAAATTGTTCTTATAGTTGCTCTGTTTCCCCTGGGTAGTTAGTCGCCACTTTTCTTAGCGGGTGGGTAAAAATTCCCTTCCCTCTCTCCTCACAGGGGGAAAAATAGTTTGGGCAGCTTTTACAGGAAAAAATACTTAAAATCTTAAGGAGAGGATCAGGTCTCATCCAGTTTCATCCACATTGTTTTGAAGTTGCTTGGTGGTATTTTGACTTTGGCATCAGCTGTTTAGTGACAAGCCATATTGGTATGGCCAGTCTTTCCCCCGCTGATTCGGAGGGCTTCCCCGGATCAAATGAAAGGGCCGTCACCCTCCTGCGATCAAACGGGAGTCCCCTCCTTGCTCATCGCCCCTACAGGGTGACTTTCGACCCTTTCCAGTGTCCCCCAGCGGAACGAATTTGGACACGGAAGATGGAGCTCGCCTTTCTGCATCTGCACCGCCGCGATGGCAAACCCGACAGTTATCAGATCTTCACCCAGGCTTCTGCAATGCATGTAAAGGCTTAAAAAAAACCCCTACTCCTGAGAAATATTATTTTCTTGAAAATTTATTAATGCGTTTTTCGCTATGGATAGTTTGGGAGTGATAATTCTCATTAGGTTTAACTGTTTGTCAATCATATTTAATACAAAACAGGCTGATTGGTTAATGTCATTCCATTTTAAATAAATTATAGAATAAGGACCAACTTTTCAGTTACCTTTTATGAATGTAATGATTAACGTACAGTACATAATTTATTCTATAGTGTTAATACAGTATCCACTATATTTTAATCTTTTAAAAAATGGACTGATTCAGAACAGTTGGGTTTGCCTTTTCTAACATGTACTTTTGTGTCATAGCATTTACATTAGAATCTATCACCATGTTGTCTGTGACATCAATAGAAGAGTCCCTGAGGTATTCCATCCATTTTAAAGAACTTTAAAACATTGATTACTTTAAAAAAAAAAAAAACCTTAAACATGGTAAAGTATGTAGGAAAAAACCAAGTCTTATTAAATCTATGCATTCAGAACTTGAAATTTCAAGCATTTGAACCCAAAAACGTTGCTGCCCATTGTTCTAAAAGTGCTTTGCCCATCTACTGTACTGTCAGGATCTTCCTTGTCCTAGGCTCACAAGATAAATTATATGTCCAGGCTTTAAATTCTGCTAAATTCAAAAAGTAATCAGATGGCAACAGGTTGCCATTGTCCTGTCATGTTATGTCTTCAATCACACATATTACTTGCCCTGTAGTGCTCCCATGAGAGCCCAGGAAAAGATTCCTTTAAGTTGCTGTCAAGAGATACATTGAAAACACACATGCTAGATACATCTGAAACACACTTTGCTTGTTTCAGGTCTGAATACTGCTTGCTAATAACCCAAAATAAACTATACATAACTAAAGAGAATAGAATGCAAGTGAAGGTTGCTGAGATTGCAGATGTTAAACAACAGCTGTTTACATGCCTAAAGAGAATGTTATATAATTAAAATAGGTAGCCGTTTAATTATGACAATATTCCCTGTGACGGGTGAGTTACCTGTGAGGAATCGGGGAGAGCATCACTGAATTCATTGTTCTCAATTGGTCTGAAGAGTTCTTTTTTCTTTTCCCTGTCCCGCATGTCAGGACTAGCAGCACTAATAAGCATCTTTAGGTTAGCTGTTGGAGTCCATGGATCTGCAAGAGGCCTATCTGTCAGCTTCACAGGTGTAATTGGGCTTCTCTCAGGAGTACAGATTTTTTGCTTGGACAAATCAATGGGCTCATTTTTCATGGGAGTCTTTGGGGTCATTCTAGGTCGATCAAATATATTTTCCTGTTAGAAAGAAGGCAGCCAATTAACATATAAATATATAACAACTCCCAAGTTGTACAACACTTCAGTTTCACATTAAGAATTACCTGCTCAAGACTCAAGACTATTAATGGATCCTAGCCAAGATGATCAGACATTCCTTTAGTATTGAGGGTAGGATACCTCTCAGAAAGGGCGATACTATGCTCTTGTTCTTCTCATAGACATCTCAATGTCATCTGGCTGACTTTCATGGGAACAAATGTGAAATAATATAGTTCTAACCACACAAGGCTCTTCAAATAGCCTGCATGACTTTTATAGGGAGGAAAAGAGATTACAATTTGGGAAGATGATAAGAAACTGACTCAACCTAGACATCAGAACACTTAAGTCACAGAAGTTGGAAATCAAATTTAGATCAACTATTCTCAGAACAGTGCTTTTTTCACATTGGGATAGAAGGAAACTTCAAATTTGGAGCAAATCATTGTTTAGAGTCTTAGACTTTCCAGTTTCTTTGAAAAATACTTTCTAGAGGAGTTGCAGTGTGTAACAGCACGCCACATAACTTCCAGTTACAAGGTGATCCTCAACTTACAACCAGTTGCTTAGTGATTGTTCGAAATTATGACTGACATAAAAAAGGGTACTTATAACCCAGATTTGAAGTTCGAATGGTTGGGCCCCCTCTGCAATTATGTGACTGAACTTTGGATGTATGGCAACATGGCCATATTTAAGACTGTTCACAACATCCCATGGTCATGTGACCATATTTTACAACAGTTTGCTGAAAACCAGCACTTCTGGTTTCAGCAAAACTGCACCCATAGGGAACAACTGCAGCTTTTGCTTTACTATTGTCGCAAAAAAGATGATAAAAAACCATGCTTTATTGTCATTATAGTCATATGTTAAGGGTACCCGTGTTTGAAGGCCTTTATTTAATAAACAAGGAACTTGTTCAAGCATTGTTTTGGTCATGATTTACTGTGTTGAAGTGGTGGGGACCAGAATATGTAATTTCACAATCAGAGAGCAATGGTTAGTCTTTCTAAAATTAATACCTTCATATTTGAAGAAATCAGTAAAGATTCAATGACTGCTTTTTTAAAGTACTGTTACAAATAATAGTTGCAAAAATATGTGTAGATACCAACAAAATTCTCTGATAAAACTCTCTGACGTAGTAGAGGTTCATCCTTGCTGTATATGGCAATCACATCACATCTTTATTATTTAATGCTACTAAATTATATATTCAGTTTGGTCTTAAGGACAGAGATGTGTAGAATAATCACTTGATTTGCCATTTTTTCTATCCCTCTTTGTAGAACCTGCTTTTTCTTTAAAGAGTGCAAATCTTTGGGGAGACATGAATAGAGGGTCCATCTTTCCTATCCACTTTTTGTTATTCAACTCTGTTAACGAGACATCTTGGTTTAGGCTGAACCTAAGAACTAAATCTTATTTATAAAAACTCACATTAGTACAAGTGGAAATAATAGTACAATGCCTTGCACTTAAGTATTATGCAACTGCTTAGAATGGTGGAACTTTACAGAGAAGAAATGTTATTGAATAATTCTTATTAAGACGTCTAGCTTTGTTAAAGGGAGCATTGCACAGCAGTCAACAAGCATTTAGACTTGTTTTGCCTGCTTAGTTGGTTAGATATCTAGAGATTCATTGTAGATAAATAGTGTGTCAAAGGAGTCAAATCTGCTTATGTAACCTGAGTGGGTTGAGTAGAAGCAGTTTGATAAAGAAAAAGCAGATTATGTCTGCATTTTTATATATTAATCTTTTTTATTTTTTTCTCAGCTTTACAAATAACTTTCTGAGCTAATAGTTCCATCAGCTGCTACACATTTTAAGTGCTACTTAAAAGAAGAAGCTTATTCCTCTTTTTGATATTTAAAACTATTTGTAATTTATATTTTATTAAATTTATATATGTGTATATACGTGTGTGTGTGTATGTGTATGTATATATATATATATAGGTCTTTGGTTATTCGGGTTTTCTCCCGCGTAAAATTGGAAGTGTCTTGGCGACGTTTCGACGAAGTCCCATTCGTCATCTTCAGGCTGGTTTTTTCAGCTTCGTGCTTCGAGCATTGCTCCTCGAAGCACGAAGCTGAAAACACCAGCCTGAAGATGACGATTGGGACTTCGTCGAAACGTCGCCAAGATACTTCCAATTTTACGCGGGAGAAAACCCGAATAACCAAAGACCTACATACAAACACCCGCGAAAACCTCAGAACACACACACATACACACATATATAAACACCATTTGCCTGCCTCAAATTGCATAGCTAAAAGTATTTGTAAAATCAAAATAATTACTTGCATTGGTGAAAAGCAACTTCAAATACCCAAACAGAAAAAAGAAGTTATGCATCCAGGTTTTCAACACTACTGAATCAATAAATGCAGATCCCCATGCATAACCTTCATGAAAACATTAGTATTTCCAGTTTGGTCTGGTTCAAAGAAATTACTAATTAAAAGTCCTGTTTATCAGGAGAGCACCAGGAAGTGTTCATCTGTGGTTCATTAAGTTTTATATATAAAATTGGGATTTCAACTTGATTTTTTCCAAACAAGCCAGAATCAATTCTCAAGTCTTTTGTTATACAGTGCTCTTCTACACACAGTTGGTTCCATTTTTTTCAACTAAACAGCATAGCAACAAAAGTATAGAAAAGAGAGAATATTGAGAAAATTGACTGAATTTTAAAATCTTATAACTCACAACACTGAACATATTACTGGGCACAATTTAGAATCTATTAGTGAAACATAACTCAGAAACAACAAATTAAAGATTGTATGATTAAATGGTTGCAAAAGTTGAAAACAGTTGGAGATGAGGGAGTAGGAATTTCAATAGAAAAATAGTAGTACACTCACTTTAAACATTACACTAAGAACTGGTATGTTTCATTGCAATATATTACTCTAGTCATGATTGCTAAGATGACTAGCTCTTTTTCTTAAAATGGTAAAAATGGAATGAACAAAGTAGATCTTCCATATGTTGTAGGAATGTTGTAACACTCAACAATTTTAAAAATTAATTTATGGTAGAATAAAATAAATTTTGAAAGTTGTAATTTCAACCTTTTATAAATTTCACCAAACAACACTCTCCTTCCAAATATGTTGAACTGACAATATATAATATATAATAACAGCTGCAAGGATTTTCATATGCTTTTCTAAAAATGGATGTACAATTCAACCTTATTTGGAAATGATTTCTGGACTACAATTCTATACATGGATTTGTGCCACACCCCAACTTAATCTGACATATAATCCATACATATTATTTTTCAATTTATTGTTTACTATAGTTTTTTGTCCTTACTGATTTAAATTGTAATAAAGAGACAGGTCTTAATTAGAAATTGGTTATGAAATATTTTATAGAACTCTGGTATTTTAGAATATATTAGCTCTTTGAGATTTACTGGTTATTTGAGATGTGCTGGTTATTCACCCATATTCTATTTCTTATAGGTAGTTCTCGACTTATAACCATAATTGCAAGAGAAGAATAGGTAGAACTGGGTGGTGGTGGTCTGTGTGCGGAGTTAAGCTCGTCATTAGCGTAGGGTCATTATATTGCCACAAATGGTCCAAGTCCAACCCCTCTTAAATTCCATTGATTCTTATCTGGTGCCAATTTAATACTGAAGCTTAGTTGACTAGAGTCCTGTGTATAGGCTTCAGCTTATATAGCCACAAACTTATAATTATGACCAGAATTTTCATTACTAAGCAAGGCAGTTAAGTAAGACTTGCTCAATTTTAAAAACTTTTTTTTTTTTGCCACACTTAATCACTGTAATTGTTAGGTGAATCATGCAGACATTAAACAAATCCAGCTTCCTCTATTGACTTTGTCAGAAGTTGGCTGGGAAGGTTGCTAATGGCGATCATATGACCACAGGATACTGTAACTGTTTTAAGTACATGCTGTTTGCCAAGTGCCCAAATTTTTATCACATGACTGCTGGAATGTTGTGATCATTGTGTGAGGACTTATTTAAGTCACTTTTTTCAATGCTGCTATAAGTTTGAACAGCCACTAAATCAGACATGTCAAACGGGCCGGATGTGTCACACCGAAACCGCACCCACCCCATTGCTGGCAATGGGGAAAAAGTCGCAATACATGCCTGCACTAAATGAATAGTTGTAAATTGAGGATTACTTCATATTGTTTCCCCAACTTCCTTATCATATTTTCCATGTTCTTTAAACATGTATTTGTATCAGTATTCTTTCCATTTATTCTTTAAATAAAAAATTAAGAATAATTAAATCAAAATTATCTGCTCTGCTTTTTTCTTCTTTATCTGCTCTGCTTTTTTCTTCTTTATCTGCTCTGCTTTTTTCTTCTTTAACTTTCTTTCTTAACGTAACTTTCCTTTATGTTTGCCAGAAGCACCTCTGTAGATTCATTTCATTAAAATTATCTCCAAATATTGGTCCATAATATTTTGCTTTTCTCAAATAATGGCACATTAGTGATTGCATAATAATAACAATAAACCAAAGTTATGTACTGCCTGATTCCCAACAACTCTGGGAAGCTCATTACAATGAAAGAAATTACAATAAAATAAATAAAACATTAAAATTAAAGTTAAAAGATGACCATAGGCTTGGATGAAGAACCAGGTCTTCACAGAATTTTTGAGAAACAGCAGAGTGGGGTCGATCTGGATTGGGGGGGGCTCATTCCAGAGGTCAGACACTATCCTGCCCAGCCAGGATTACTGAATAACCCGCAATGGCCCAATTCCACTTTGTCAGATTAATTATTTGATCTGCTATCAACATTTGGTAGTAAAATATAGTGCTTTGTTTTGTATTATTTTAAACAAATCAGGCATAACAAATTTATTTTACTTAGCCCACAACCCAAAGTACTGAATTTTAATCCCAACACTCAGCTATATCACTTCCAGACTTCAAGTGGCCTTTGGAACCTCCTCAAAAGTTTTTAAAAACGTCCTTCCTGGTTGCAAAAGTTGTATCATTCCTGCACTAAGTCATTAGTTGTGTTTAGTTAACTTGGTAAGCCCAAACCAAACAAAGAATGTTAGCCTGGAGTAAATTATTTCCTAGCTCCTTAATAGAGCAGAGCTGATTATAAAAACATAGAGCTAATGCCAAGCTGAGATGCATTTTAAGAGAAATGTACCCAACAGAAAAACAGTGGCAAGGTATGTGGTGAACTAGGACTACTCTTCTTTATTTTAATGGTAGAGCTAGTTAATCATTTAACATAATGATAATTATCCACAGAATATTACAGTAAATCCATTCCTCTAATTTGTTGTCTGACTTTTTCATTTCTGAATATCCCACTACAATCTGAAACTTTGGACTATAAAGAAAATAATTTAAAGAAAGCCTTAGCACTGCCAGCAGATTTTAAAGTAAAGAACTCCAGGTTTTGGAATCCAGCTCTGCCTACTTACCTTTTGTGCACTGTCTCCATCTTCATTTATGTAATCCATCTTCCCATGTCTCGGGCTAATCAGGTCTTTTAGTGTTAAACAATTCAACTCCATCTGTAAATGTAAAAGTTGCTCAACATCTTCAGCATCTTACATCACTCCGCCTCCCAATAAATTTCAGGTCCCGTATCCCACCTCCTCCCGCGAAATTATGAGCAAATTTTAGGAGAAGACGAGCTCCCTGACGCGCAGAATGTATAACAAACCAACAACAAAACTAACAACAAAAAGTTTAACTTCAACAGAAGACGCCTGGGAATGAGCAGCCCTGGCGAATCTGTCACTGTCGTTCAGAGTTACTCAGCCGGGATCGGTTACTTTTGGCGCAAAGAACCTGGACGAGGAATCCCGGCTTTGAAAGGAGCGGGATTCCCAAGGACTCACCTCCCAGATCAAGGCGGGGACAATCCAGCTCGGCCCGCGCCCTGAAGCGGGAGAAGGACCCCTCTCCCGGCTTAACCCCGACCCCTGGGGCAGGAAAGGCAATTCCCAACTCTGCGAGGAAGTGGGAAAGTTTTTGGGGGATCAAGCCAACAGGACCCGTAAAAACAACGGCAGAATTTCTCTCTGCAGACCACCCTCCTCTCCTTCCCGCTCCCTGGAATGTAGAGGCTTACATTTCTCGACACTCTTTCTCAAAGGGATCCCTGGGTTTCAGGCTCGGCGTCTCCAGGCTCGCTAAGCTCACCCCTGAGGGGCATCGGAGGTATTCCAAAGGGAAGAGGGACCCCTTATCCCACCTGCAATTTCTATCTCTGCCAGCGACGTGCGTCTACCGGCCGCTTCGCTACTGCCCTGGAGACTCCACTAGGCGCTAAAGCTTCTATTCTGGCGCCTTGGAACATATTTTTACAATCCGACCAATCAGGCGTTTACAATGGGGGCGTCCCTCTAACCTTCCCGCCAATCAGCTTAAAGCTCTGTTGGGAGAATTGGCGCTAGACTCGGCGCGCTCTGTCTCAAGGTCCCGCGTCTTAGTCCTGGCAGCTTGGGCTGTTTCCCCGCCACCGCTGCCGCCCTCGCCTCCTGCTCCTCCTCCTCTGGGGTACCTGGGAAGCTCGAGGCGTAATTTAACAGTAAGGAAGAAGGAAAGGGACGCTCAGCTGCTTTGTTCGCCAGGAGCGGGTAGATCAAGTGCAGCGCTGAAGAAAAGGGGGAAAAAAATGAAGCACACAGATGGAATTAAGAAACTTGAAACTCGGGGACGTTGTGAAAGCTGGCGGCGACCCTCTGGTTTTCCCCTCTGCTGCAGTCTGCTATTTGGTTTAACTTCTGCGCTTTTAAATCTTCCAGCACTAAAAATCGCGTTGGAAAGTTCAGAAAATGCTCGCCCGGACAAGTCGCGCTTTGCCAGAGTCGAGTGTTCCCTGCTGATCCTTAGTTAAGGAAGAATTAAATAAATTGCTAATCTCCTTTACTGACAAGAGATTCCTAAAAGAAGGCAGATTCATGCATACATTAGTTTCATGGAATGGTGCAGGAGAGCAATAGCATTTAGATTTATATACTGTCCCATAGTATATAAAAAGTTTACAGCACGTTTTGGGAGGTTTACAATGTCATCATATTGCCCCAGCAATCTGGGTCCTCATGCTGACAGACAAAAGGAAAATAACCTTGAAAATACACCCATGATTTCATTTCTTGCTTTCAGACTTGTGGCATATTTCCTTCATATGCTACTAATTTACATTGATTGGAAGAAAAGGGCCATGAGTTGTAGCCCAGTGGTCAGACTATTGTGTGGGCAAGTTTCATAGAAAAATACTAGTTGTGTTTTCTTGGCACCTGCATATTGTGTGTACAGAAACTAGCTGAACTGTCACAACTGCAGATTAGTTCCCAGTAGTTTTCCAAATGGTCATGCAGTGATTAAGTGGCAGATCTGGTTTAGAAAGGATTTGGGGGTGGGGTGGGACTTCCAGTGGCCCCACTGAAGAATAAAGTAATGTGTTTGCTAATCATTTGTATAAGGTCTTGACATAAATGTAAAGTTAATTCCAAAAATTAATTATATGCATATTTTAGAAAGCTTTACTACATGCAATATCCTGATATTACCGAATTGTCTAGATAGGGCCCTATTTCCATAGGTCATATAAAGATAACTTTTGATTTCCAACTATTGGTAAACCAGATCAAAGACTATGGTGACTTAATTCATCATAAGGACACAAGGTTGACAGTTACATTGTACAACAAAACAAACATTGAGTCTTAAGTTCAGTAACTGAAATACATTATAAACCTGGACAATGCCAACCATATTAACATTTAATGGCACTTCTACCCACTTATTTAGGCAACAGTAACATTTGTTTTTCTGCCCATGGTATATAGAGGATGCTCAGTTGTCTTACAGTCCCCTTCTCAACTTTCTGTTTCTTAACTCATTTTCAGTCTCCTTAAAACCCCTCTTCTCTGAGAATCACTCTATAAAGCAGCGGTTCTCAACCTGTGGGTTGCGACCCCATTTGGGGTCGAACGACCATTTCACGGGAGTCGCCAAACAACGCAGTCCACCATTTTTCCCCCCTTTTCCTTAGCTGTGCTACTCCCTTTTATTCTATTGGTTTTTGAAAGCCAATAGAATAGACTCTCTTGAATAGAGTCTAATTCTATTGGCTTTCAAAAGCCAATAGGAATTGTCCAGGCTGTCTCTGCCCTGCTGAGCCCGCCAAAAGCCCCAGTCTGCAAACGGTGCTGCAAGTTGTCTTCTTCCATATTTTATTTTTCCCTATTTGCTTCTGTCTGTGCAGGTCTTGCTAATGTAGTTGTCCTATTTTTAGCAATTTACAGTATGTGTATAATAAATACAAACTATTTGGGGAGGGAAAAGGGATGTTTGTTAAAATCAACTGTCTGCTAAATCTAAATTTACATAACTGATATCATTTGCATCTTTCCTATAATGATATAATAGATGTTTTTATGCCATTTACACCAATTTGATCATGTATGTTATAGCATAATTGACATTTTGATATTTAATTATGCAGAAGACATACATTGATGCAAATGACAAAAAATCAATTGAAATCAAATTTACATTCTATTTACATCATGATATAATTGGTACTTTTACATCATTTGCATCAATTTCGTCATTTGTATAATGATGTAATTGATATTTATGCAAAAGACTTAAATTGATGCAAATGACATTAAAGATGTCAATTATATCATTACCCAAAAACAGATTAATACAAATGCTCAAATGATATCAATTATATCATTATATAATATAAATAATGTTGATTGTCCAGTCAGATCTTGGAAAAAACCAACTTATCCATTACTTTGTAAGTATAATTGAAACATCAAATCCATTGATTAAATATGGACGTCATTGTAGGGAAAACAGAAATTTTAAAAATATTGTAAAGGAAACTGAAATAAAAGAAAAATCACTAAAAATAATATTGGGAAAACTGCATAATTTTAAATTCCCTCCCATTGAACCTGACCAATAATTGCATTACAATATTTATATAGATTGAAACAGAAACAGTTTCTAATTATTGTCTTTATGTTACTTATTTCCCTTTAAAAAACTAGTCTAAGGTCTGAGTTTGCCTTGCTGTGTGACATAGAATACCGTATATAGGAGAGACATTTCTGCTTAAATTCAGTCAAACCTCTGGATGTTCTGGATATTATGTTAAATTTGTCATTGCTGCATATTTTCCAAGTTTGGTTTTCCAATCTAATATTGTTTGCAAGTGTTTCTTTTCCAATGCTGAGCCAAATTTGTCCTTGTGATGCATTAAAATGCAAGATAAATTTAATCAATTGTTAATTTTTTTGTTTATTTGCTTTGGAAATATTCCTAGTAGAAAAAAACTAAGATTTGATTTCAAATGATAAAATGTTCCTTTTGTATCATAACATTTCCAGCATTTTTATGATTATTGATGGAATTATATACTATCTGTAAAATATTTTGTGCAATATTTCTCTTAAATTATAGCAAGGAGTAAATTTACTGAATTTTTTTCATGTTTTCCCATTGTTGTATGGTAAATGTTTCTTTACATTTGTATTGTAAATGTTTCTTTACATTTCCCTTTATAATTTTTACTTGTTCTCTCTATCGTAATTTAATAGCTCTTTCTCTCTCTAATTATAGGTGTGTGTATGTGTGTGTGTGTGTGTGTATGTGTGTATTGGTAGGTTACCTTGGCCTTTTTAAGGATTGATTTTTATTCTTTCAGATGATTTTTAATTGGAATTTTTACATAACTCAATTTCAGTGATTCCTAGTGAATAAAATATTGATTAAATCCTAATTTTTAAACCAAAGTTTTCAAAGACCTGATCAATTAAAATTTCAACCAAATCAAAAAATAATTCTGGTTATATTTTGAGGGTACTGAATCCTCATTTGGAAGATGATGAAGAAGACAACTTAATTGTGGAATGAGTTAATGAATTATTCAGTGATGAAAAAGTAAATTCATAACCAATCCTCTGATTTATCATTTTTGCAGGAAACAGCATAGTTTTTTTAAAGAGCTTATTTTCATGTCTTCTTTACCATCTCGCAAAGATGCTTTATTATTTTTGAGGGACATTGCATCTTTCATGCAATGTGGTAGAGGCAGCTTTAATTTGATGGCTTGGGCAATGCTATTTTCCATCTTCTGATGGCAAACACCCCATGGGGATAATCTAGGATGCCTTAAGGAGGACCTAGCCAGGGGCACCTATCTCCTCACTTGGAAGGATTATCTCCTTTCTGTCTTTGATGGCTGGTTTCCTAGTTCCAGGAACTGGGAATGAGTATAGGTCAACCTATCCTACATTGTCTGAAAAAGGTGAAGTTTATGGATGTAGGGAAGAGAGAAGGAGATAATGGACACACCACAGGGAAGATAAGGCTAAGCAAATTGAAGTGGCTGCAGCTCCAGGCTAGCATGGGTAGAACTGGCACGATTGCTATGTTATATAAAGTTCTTCTAAGTGACCAAAATCATTAGGAGGGAGAGCCATTCATTAGCTCAAAAGAACAGGAATAGCTCTGGTCAGCTTTTAGTCACAATGCTTGCTTTTCAATGAGGCACTGTTACAAAATAAATGGTGCAAGAGGAAAAGCAGGACTGAAGCCTTCTCCCCCCCCCCCCCCCGCTAAAGTACCAAAGTGAGGAAATGTGTCTCCTGCTCCACACTGCCCATATTTATCTGGGCTGATCATTCATTTTTTTCTTTTTCACATGTTTTCCTTAAAAACAGATTGAAAGAAGAGTAGGGACTGTGGAGGGCATCTCTGGGAAGAATATTGATTTCTTGATCTTCCATATTTTTCAAGAAAACATCCATCAATATTCCCACAGCAAATATAATAAAAAAAATCAAGCCTTGAACTTCAAATGAGCAATCACTCTGAAAGACCCTAAGAAAGGGTCTTTATTTATTTATCCCACCATGTGCTGAGGAGTTCAAATGGTGATTGTTTTTGCTGGCAGCAAATCTGAGCAGGAGAAGGAAGAATGCCAGTGAAGCCACCAATTGCTGCCCTGAACTATAGCATCTGAAAAATATTAAGGACACTCAGAACGTTCTGCCTCATTGCTGAGGTACAGTAAAGCTCAGCCACGGCTGCAGTGCAATTGATGCCAATGTATTTTTCTGCTATGGATAGGCAGAAAGCATGTGAGAGTCAGTAATAGTCTCCCTAAGCCTAATGTTGGTTGGGCATTCCTTCAATTCAAGCAGCATCTAGCTAGCTTTGAATTTAAGTGCTCTGCTTCAAAATCAGCATGCTCTGCTTTGATGCCGGCTCCAGGGTTACATGACAGTCTTAGGGCACTTTGACTGAAGGCACCATCTCTCAGCAATACAAAGATTTTCATTTTTAGACTGATTTGGAAAGAGAGGTGGTATTGGTGCCCCCTAAGCATTGGCAACCTAGGTCCATTCCTATTCCTCTTTGTATGTTTGGCCCACAAACTATGGTTCTTGATCATAAAACCACAATT